AGGCGTCGCAAGGCGTAGGTCCGTTACAAGGTGCCAGGCGTCGCAAGGCGTAGGTCTATTGCAAGGTGCCCAGGCGTTGCAAGGCGTAGGTCCTTTGCAAGGTGCCCAGGCGTTGCAAGGCGTAGGTCCGTTGCAGCTCGTCCAGGCGTCGCAAGGTGAAGGTTTGCCGCAAGGTGCCCAATCATTGCAAGGTTTAGGTTTGCCCCAAGGTGCGCAGGCATTGCCAGGTTTAGGGGTGTCGCCAGGTGCCCAAGCATTGCAAGGTCTAGGTTCGTTGCAAGGGACTCAAGCATTTTTAGGCTCACCAAGTCCTCAGTCGTTTGTCACAGGTCAACAGCGCCTGAGACTGTTTAGGCCCGGGTTTGGCGTTTCAAGCTCCCGCCGCCTTTGAGGACAAAAGCCTTTCTGGCCAAATGCCACCTGGTGGAGCTCATCCTTCCGCCTCTGATCCTGCAAGTACCCTTAAGGAAGTTCCTTGGTTCAATGGCTCTGCTACGCCAAGGGGACGGGGGGAATTTGAGCCCGGTGATAGGGTGTTTTGGGAGCTTCCGAAGCTTGCCCCGGCTACGGAGCCGACCTTTCGTCAAAGTCGTGGTTGTGGTGGGACAAGGTTTATGAAGCCGCGTTGAAGTACTATCATGATTATCAACAGTCCGACCCACTTTCAAGAGGTCTTCTTAGACCCGATTTGCCGGAAGACCTGCAGCACCATTCTCTGGCCCGTTTCGAATCGAGAGCAGTATCGATGATCCTTCACGCGGTTCCAGAAAGCGTTTCGTCGCAGGCACTAGCCACACGTTCTCTAAGTAGCGTTGGATTGCTATTCCAAATCTTGAAACAATATCAGCCGGGCGGCCTCAGCGAACGCCAAGAGCTTTTGAAGTCGCTTACCGAATTGAGCCCAGTTACTCAAGCGTCAGATGCGGTATTGGTCCTTCAGGCTTGGTTCCGCCATGTTGCCAGGGCAAGAGCGATGAAAGTTCAACTGCCTGATGGAAGCCTTCTCTTGGCAGCACTGGATGCAATGGCGAAGAATCTCTTGTCTGAGCATGCCCAAGTTGCCTTTAGAGTGAGCTTGAATAGGCATCAGCTTCGGTTGGATTATAGGGCGGACACTGAGTTGGTCGAGGCTTATGCCAGGAATCTAATGGCCGAGTTCGAGGTAGTTTCTTTGTCCCAGGAAAGTCCCGCCTCTCCTAAGAAGCCTCGACTCCGTAAAGCCAAGGAGAAGTCGCCTGGAATCCCACCTTCATCTTCTCCTCCTTCGGCCCCAGGTGCTAACCCTGGTGCTCCTGTACCTTGCAGTAACAATGCGCCTCCTTCGAAGAGCCCTCCCCCTAAAGCCCCAATATCCTCAAAGCCCTGTGTCAACTGGCTTAGTGATGGGGGTTGTCCTTATGGTAGTAAGTGTCGTTTCGCACATGACAAAGAAACCGAGGCTTTGAAGGGGAGATGCTTCTTTTGCAGCGCTAAGGATCACTGGGCGAACTTGTGCCCTATTAAGGCCGCAGAAAAGCAGGAGGAACAGGCCAAGTCTCCTCAAAGATCCAAGGCCCTTGGAGGAAGGGTTGTAAGTCAAGCCTTAAGGGTCAATCCGGGGTTCGTTCCTTGGATCCCGCAGGCTCTGCTGAGGCACCTTTGCCTTCTGCCCCCCATCCTCCTCCGGATACAGCTCAGGCCAAGACTATAGTGGTCGATCCCCTTAATCCAACCCAAGAGTTGGCCAAAGAAGTGACGGAAGTTCTGGAGGCCGTTGGTCCGGAAAGGTTGGAGTCCCCTTTGGCTCGCGTGAGCTCCTTTCCTCTAAGCCAGGGTGAAGGGACAGGATACGGGCTCATCGACAGCGGTGCCACCGCTGCTCTCCGTACTGGATCACAGGCGGAGATAGCCGCAGCAACAGCGGTCAGCGTGCAACTTGCGGTAGGCAAAGCACGTATGTTTGCAAATGCATATGGGACCCTCCTAACCCCAAATGAGGTGCAACCTATACTACCAATGGCGTTCTTACCAGACTTAGGTTGCTCCATGACGTGGACTGACCGAGGCTGTTCTGTGAGACATCCTCGTAAGGGCCTGTTGCCGGTTCGCCTCAGCCACCAATGCCCCGAGCTCCCCGTAGATCTGGTGCTGGAACTCATCCGTGACCATGAGGAGTTTCTGGAACAGAAGCGCGCCACGCAGGTCCAGGCAAAGACGGCCGTAGCGACCGCGCTTCATGCCCCAGTAGATATTTGTGATGACCCGACGTCGTGGGTCCGCTCGCAGATTCATAATGGTCAGCTAAGCATGGCTGCGCAGGCACAATGGTTGGCTAGGCTCTTTCCAGAGTTGGCGCAGCGAATTCTTGAGCGGGTGATCTGTCCGGTTGGTTTTAATGTGGACCGAGTTCCATTCAATCGTCATGAGAGGCGTAGGCTGTTTAATACCAAGCTCCCTACGTTGTTGCATCTTTTCTCGGGCACTCAACGATGGTCTGACTGTGGGCATGTGCTTCACGTAGAGAAAGACAGGGGGTCAGATCTGTTGTCCAATGATGTCTATGGGACGCTCTTGCAGGCTGTGCTCTCGGGTAGCGTTGAAGGCTGTGTTGGTGGTCCTCCTTGTAATACTGTGTCAGCTTGCCGGATGGCAAATGATGGGGGCCCTCGTCAGGTTAGGTCCAGGGAAGGTCCCGAGAGGTATGGCCTATACAATAATACCCCTGCTGAACAAGCCAGTGTGGATGATGCCTCAGTCCTGTGGTTTCGAACTCTTGCGCTGTTCTTGTTGATCAGTGCCACACAGGGACCGCGTGCCTTTCTTGGACTTGAGCATCCTGAGGATCCTGCGCAATGGGCGAGTCCCCGCAGCCCTCTGCAGCGCTGTCCCAGTTTGTGGGCTTTTCCAGAGCTAGCCTATGTCAAGGAACTTTTGAGCGCATTTCAGGCGGATTTTGACCAAGGACATTTTGGTCACCCTCGAAAGAAGCCTACTTCGCTTATGACGACGAGTTGGGTTGTTTTTGAGGGGTTAGCCGCACATAGATGCGTTTCAACATGGCAACCACCTCCTGTAGACACAACAGGTCTTTGGGAGGAAGGCTCTCACTCTTCGTTGGCAGGCCGTTACCCCTCAACAATGTGGGCCCAGTGGGCACCAGGCCTTGTCAAGATCTTGAAAGAGGGGTGGGTTCACCATTGCCGCCATAGTGTGGCAGAACGCCTTCAGCATCAAAATGATCGGCAGACTATGCTCCAAGCTTTGTCCCCTGCCTGGCAAGCACACGTAGCCGCAGACCATCATCCACACAGGAAAGATTGTGCTATTTGTTTACAAGCGGCGTCGAGGGATAGGCCTCATTACCGCCAGTCAGATACCTCATTTTACGCGCTCTCAAGTGACATTTCTGGACCTTTTGTTAAGGGTAGGGATGTCGGAGGCCCCAAGAAGTATTTTGTGGTTTATTCAATTCGACTTCCTGTAGGTGAGGGCTACCCCTGGAAGCATCGCACCGCCAATCCTCCTAAGCATCCTCAGCAGGTTCCACAGGCTCCGGCTTCCCGTGTTGGCGCTCCTTTGCCCATGTCAGGTCCTCCTACTAGGGGGTGAGTCATCTGCGTCGCCTTTGCAGGAGGTAGCCGACATTCATCAAGATGTCCAGGAAGACAGTGTCTCGGAGGTTGCACCGGCAGGACCTTTGCCACCACCTCGCCGCGTTAGGGGTAAGTCGTCTCCGGTTAAACCACTACCCTTTCAGGCCCCAGTGGATTGTCATGATGCTGCTGTGGCATCTTCTTCTTGGGAGATGGATTTCTCTAAGTATGGGGTCCCAGATTTGGACGAGCCTTCGTCTCCTATTCTAGATTTTAAGCAAGTCCCTGTAGAGTTTGTTCATGACGCTGAGCCACTTGACGATGATCCTGGCACTGGCAATTCCACTCAGCCTCCTGTCATCTCGCAAGACTTCGTGACGCTGCGCTGGGCAGAACCTCTAGCAAATCGTAATGCTGACGGTCTCCGGTTGTCTGTCATGCAAGCTGTCGCCAAGCGCAGGGCTTTTGGCCTTTTGGCGTTCCTGTTTTACGGTTTCATTCTGATAGGGCCAAGGAATTCCAGTCTCTGCGGCTTGTACGTTGGTTGGCGGAGCAATCGATTCATGTGACCAAGTCCGCACCTGAGGACCCTGCAGCTAATGGTACAGCAGAGTCAGCAGTCAAAGAGATCAAACGTCTGGCTCGGCGATGTCTTCTCTCTGGTGAACTGTCTTCGTCTCTGTGGCCTCTAGCAGTTCGACAGGCCTCCGAGCAATTGTGGAGATCAGCTCTTTCCCAGTTAGGATGTCCCACTCGGCCTTTGTTGGCGTTTGGAACTGTCGTTGAAGCGAGAAGCCGTGAATGGCTTAAGCGAGCGGACAAGCAATGGAGTCCGCGGACTCTGCCTGGTTGCCTGGTCGGCCCTGCTCCGCAGACTCCCTCCGCCTATGTCGTGTTGTTGGCAGATGATACCTTGTATATATCCTCTTCAGTGCATCCAATCACGGCGGTGTCCGGGCCGTTGTCGTCTGCCGATGCTCTGCCTCCTTGCACCGTTCAGCTACAGCTGTTTCAGGCCTCAGAGCTCGCCTCTTCTTTCCATCTGCCTGAGTTTTCTTCTTCTGCCCTCCATCATGGCGCTCTTCGTGCGCTTCGGTCTTCCTCTCCCTATGAGGGGGGGGTCCAAGGTTGTCTTCAGCAGATCCAAGGTTGTCATCCGCAGATCCTTTGGCAGCGCAGCAAGTGTGAATGTCAATGCTGGGCGACAACTACAGCCTATTCCTTCTTCTAGATCTTATCATTCTGGTATGGTTACCAATCTGCATTGTCTGTTTCCCCCACAGGGAGTGTAAGCCCAGTTTTTGGTTTGGAACCTAGAAGGCAAATCAATGATCAGGTCTCAGGGTCGTTGATAAAGATCCTCTGTTTGGAAGGCTCAAGGTTGCTTAAGTTCCTTCCTCAGCAGGAGGATCCGAGACTTCGATGTCTGTCTTTGGGTTTCGGCTTTCGAGTGAGCGTGTCAAGGTTTGCTTCACGTCCCGAGGAACGTCAGCAGCAGATTTTGCAGGATATGGATTCGGAGGCCACGTCTGATTCCACCCCGGATCCTGGGTACGTTGACGATGTTGCCCCAGGGTTTGAGGAGTTTTTCGACTCCACGTCGAGCAATGACCAATTTGGTAGGCCGGACTCCGGGGGAGGTAACTCAAGCCACATGCCTAACTCCGGGGGAGCAAGCCCAAGCAACATGCCTATCTCCGGGGGAGGTGGTCAGAGATACTCAGAGAATGAAGGAGCTTGGATCTCAGTTGACTCCAGTCACAGCTCTTCATCTGCTCCGTCCATCCGTGCAGTCGGGCGTGTTAAGTCTGACGCTTCAGGAGTTGAGGTTTTGGCTCAGCAAAAAATTGGTCAGCATAAACTGGATCGTGCTGATGTACTTGAAGTGGTTCTTAAATTGCGGGAGACCCAAGTAGAGGTTCAGGGGGCTAGGCCTTTTCAGACCAGTCTTGCGTTGGGACCTGGTGAATGTATAAAGTTGAGCCCAGGGCGATGGACCTCTGGTGCGTTTGTTCATGGCGGGGTTGCCTTGTGTTGAAGCGTCGGACAGGACAGCCCTTCGCTTCCGTGACCATCCTCGTCAATTGCCACTCTGAGCAACATGTGGATTCTCATAATGAAGTCACGGTTCACAACGTGGTTTGGAATGCGGCGGAATGCCCTGATTTGCAAGGGGTTCGATTTGACAAAGGGATTGCCCCACTTCCATCAAATGCCTGGGTTACGTTTCCTCCCAGAGTGCCCCACAGTAGTATGTTCAGCGATGGTTTGAGGATCCTAGTTGTAGGATACACCCCACGAAGCCTGGATAAATTAGGACCTCAACACATCTCCACCCTTAAGGGTCTAGGGTTCAGCCTACCTGATTTCCCCCGTGTTTCAGTGCAAGCAGCTGTTGTGGAGTGCCGTGACTCCTTGGAGCCTACTTCCTTTGGAATCTCGGAAGAGGAGATCGAATGGGAGACCTCAGTCTTGCTTCCAGCTGATCAAGAAGAGTTGATCCCTTTCCTTCGTGGCATGTTTAGACGAGTCCATGACTTAAAAACTCATTTTGGCCGCAGTAGTGCATCTCTCCCATGAGGGTGTGGTTGATGAAGCCTACGGGCCCCTTCTTGCCGCCTTGCAAACTTGGGGGGAGGACGCAGAGCTACAACTTCAGGGTGAGGCTACCTGGAGAGCCAAGAATGGAGACTTGGAGTTTCAGGTTCGCGCGGTTCCTCAAGTGCACGGGGAAGGGGAAGCGTCGCCTCCTTCAGGGCTTCTGCACACCCGGTTAGTCTCAAATGAGGAAGTCCGTGAGAATCTGTATGCTTGGAAGAGCGCGATGGAGAAGGAGTACCAGTCCTTGATCGAGAAGGGAGCCATTGAACCAGTCTCGGAAGATCAAGTCCAGGCCTGGATTTCCAGCGGGGAAGAAGTGGAGGTGCTTCCAGGGCGTGGGGTGGCCAGTGAGAAGCCCCAGCCCGGCTGCCCATCGGAAAAAAAATAGGGCTGTTATATGTGGTAACTTCCAAGCGCCGCACCCTGATCGTGCCAAAGAAACTTTATACGCCGGTGGAGCCGATAGTGTTTCTATCCGTACGTGTCTTAGATGGGCAGGATTAAGGGATGCCGGCGCTTCCGTAGTTGACGTGAAGACCGCTTTTCTAAACGCCCCTGTCGATGCCTCAGAATCAAAATACCTGATTTGCAACCCTCCTCGGCATATGGTCATGGCTGGGGTTGTTCCCCAACGAACGAGGTGGCGAGTGCACGGTGCCCTATATGGGCTGTTGACCAGCCCCAGGGCTTGGTCAAAGGAGAGGGACGGTCGCATGAGAAAGTTCCGGCGGCAGTGCTCTGGGACCGAGCGGCGTCTGCTTCAAAGTAATATTCGTGGTATCTGGT